TGGGCATAATTCTAAAGGATGTTTGGCACAAAAATAAGACAGATCATCACCCAGAAACCACCACACACATGGTGACACATAATGGTGGCAGTATCATGCTATGGTGCTGCTTCTCTTTAGCTGGGACTGGGGCTCTAGTCAAGATATAGGGAATCATGGATAACTCCAAATACCAATCTATTTTGGCACAAAACCTCCAGGCCTCTGTTAGACACCTGAATAAAATCGCCAAAGCAAGATGTTCTGAGTTGGAGGACTCTTACCCCAAAAGACTAAGCAAGATAAAGTTACTTTAACAGCTTTACACACCCCGTCCGTGCATGTGTGGGTGTGTATGCCTACTATCTCTCTGGTTACAGCAGTTCCTAAAAACACAAAGATATACACATACAAAAGTAGCCTATCAGTAATAAGACACAGGAGAGAATCATCACGTGTTACTTGACAGTTCCTCCGCCTCCTTTCCATTCACAGCCAACTCTTAATCGTGCCCCCGCTGCCATATAACCCCACCAGTTGACTCAGACTGGAGAGCTGTCCAGCCTGAAGCTGACTTCCCCGCCACCCTGAAGGGAAGGTAATCCACCACCGCCATCTGTGCCCCCCAGCCTGTGGACCACCTCAAACAGCTGAAGTGCCAGATACCAACGGGTGATCCGCCAATCAGCATCCTTCATGCGATGGAAGTGACAGGGGCACCCCAGTAGGTAGTATCAGAGGGTGAGGACTGTCCACTTGATGGCCAGACACTCCTTCTCTATACTACTGTACTTACTCTCTCTTACTGTGAGCTTCCAGGTGGTGTACAGCAGAGGGCGCTCCTCTCCCTCCACCACCTCAAGTTCAAGATTCAGGTTCGAGTTCATGTGGGTTTCGCCAGCTATACCACACTCATTCTCTAGTTATGGCAGTTCCTGCAAGCACAGAGAAACACACACTAGTAATTGGTAATAATGCACAGGTGAGAATCATTGCCAAAGCCAATTTCCATTTCAAGGGTCTGGTCCATCTAAGGTCCCATCAACACTCACACAGATATTATTGAAAACAGTTTACCACAGTTCACACACAAACATTGTTTTTGAAAATATCTCCAATGCAAAAATAATTTTAAAACACTCACAGGAGCATGCTAGCCCAGTGATATGTCAAAAAACTTATGTCAAAAGCCTCAATAATAATTTTAAGAGCATGTGTATAGAGCTGCAGAGAAGAAGAAATGCAGAGAAACACCAACATGGACAAAAGTTCATTCATTTATTCATTCATCTTTAACCTGGTCATTGTCACTGTTCACCAAAAGAAAACATATGGCTTCATGTGTCAACTGGAGTTAGCACTTTGAGATTTTCTTTAAAATGTAAAGTGCTTTATAAATAAAATGTATTATTATTATTATTATAACTGATGATGAGATGGAACTACTGTTTAAGGTTACACTTGGGTCTTGGAGTGGATTCAAGATCAGTACAACATGTACCACATTCTGTTGTCTCCACATGAGGGCTTAATAAGACAGAGAAATTAAATTGAAAACATTAACAAATAAGGACAGATAGACCCCAGACTCACAGCCTGGTCAGCAGCTATGATAAACAGAGTCCTAGCATGTAAACATAAGTTCAAAACACAGAGAAAAATGTTTTCAGCCTGAGCCCAACTGGGTTATGTGGGTGGACTAATCACCAGAAGCTTGCGTGATCACCCTCCGGGTCTGGCTAAAGGCGTGTATCACATGTCACATATCTGGAAGAGACCTAGGTAAGCCTGTGTTGACCTCAATAGGGCTTAGTCTGCCACAGAATTTTTGCACTTAATAATGTTTTGTCCTCACCCACGTCCTAGACAGTAGATTTGTGTTACTAGAGGGCGCAATCAGGACCTAGTCTAGTTCCATAACACCAGATGTTATCTTTGTATGTATGCAGTATGCACTTCTTTAATCAGCAGGTTTTGCATCATTGTCTGCTAAAGGATTCTTTTTTGTGTGTTCCAGCATGTTATGAAACCTCTTTCTATCTATAGATATCCAAAATTGTAGACAATGCCAAAGCTATACCATGAATCTGTATGTATGTTTGGAGTTTTGTTTGTGGCAAGTTTGCATGTTTAAATTAAAGCTTTCAGTTCTGCTTTTTGACCTGAGATTCCTAAAAACTTAGATATTTTAGCTAATATTTTATATTTTCATTAACTTTTATTTAACTTGGGAAATTTAATTAGCATTTTTATACAGCACTTTGGACAACATTTGTTGTTTTTAAATGTGCTTTACAAATGTGACTAGGTCATCAGATTCAGATGTGATCTCTCATCCAGCCTTTCTCCATGTTCAAGAGTGGAAGAACCATTAGTGAACAGGGTGAAATCAGGATTCTGCAGCAGTCTCTTTGAAGTAGTCTGTTTTCAGATTTATCAAAATCTGTTTAAATGCATGGTCATCAACCTCTCCTGGCATCATCAAGGAAGGATTGGTATCACTGGCTCTTTAATTGCTTACCCCATATAGCATAAATACATCTTTGCGATGTCTCCGTTTTATTCTGGAATTTTTTTTAGGGCTTTTGGTCATCTTCAATACATCTCTATGTGGTGCCTAAGCAGGCACTTTCATGATGTTCATGAATTATGAGTGATGTAAATCTGGTCTTTTCAAGATGTTCATACATCAGTGATATTGATTTATGTAGGCCAGAGGTCAACATTTTATCATTTTCCTCTCCTACCATCTATACTGGCTATTGCTTGAAATGTAACTACAGTACCAAATAATTTTGCACCTAACATATTTCCTTAACAATAAATGTTAAACATATACTAACACAGCTAACTACATACACTATGGCTAAAAGTTTGTGGACACCTGACCATCACACTCATATGTTGATCTTCCCCAAGGTGTGTGCGCGTGTGTGTGTGTTATGCACAAGCTCCATTAGCGCTGTCCCTCTCTCTCAGGTTCTCGGCATTCTCCCTGAAAGTCCCTGCAAAGCACACGTAAGTAAACTCAGTGTGATCAAACACGGGTGAGAATCAACCCACCTCCTCTCTCTGCACCTGATGCTCAACCAAGCCTTCGCTGCCACAGGGATTAATCTGGAATGGGATGTTCAAAAAACAAATATGGGTGTGATGTTCAGGTGTCCATTTTTTAGCCATATAATGTATATAACACTGATTAAAAAATGCTATAGGTATACCATATAATGCTCCCTAAATGCATATACAAATAAAACTTTAGTACAAATGCTTGATTTTTTTTAAAAAATTATTATTACCAACAAAGGGGCAGTGGTGGCTTACTAGCCAAGGTGCTGGGTTACTGCTCAGGAGGTTGGGGGTTTGAGCCCAGCACTGCCAAGTTGCCACTGTTGGGTCCTTGAACAAAGCACTTAACCCTCTCTGCTCCAGAGTCACTGTATCATCACTGACCCCAGCCTCCTAACAAGCTGGGATATGCAACGAAAGGAATTTCACTGTAATGTATATGTGGCAAATAAAGGCAGCTGCTTCTTCTTCCTCTAAATGAACAACACACAATGGGTAAGTAAATTATTTACATAGAATATATTCATTTATTTTTATAACAAACTAAAAGTGTATAAAATACTATATTGTTAAAAGGGTTTAGGAGAATACCCTACCTGGGTCTAAAACACAGATATGTGTGACCTTTTACAGTCTCTTCCTCAGACTCATTAAAGCTGTGTGTTGAGCAAATAAAAATTGCTGTTTATCAGGGAAAAAGATGGATACAATAGCATGAATGTATAGCACCAACACTGGGTCTCATTTATCTTTTTGTAAAGTTGTGTGTAAATGTTTGCATAAGCCAGGGGTGTCCAAACTTTTTTCAAAGGGGGCCAGATTAGACCATATCAAAACACCTAAGGGCCTGTCACCAAAATATTATTTAAAGCTCCAATATAGTGAGTTTAATTTTAATGGAATAAGTGCAGTAGGGTATAACCTGACAGCTGTAGTTATGACACGAGTTGTGGCAAGATGATTTTCAAAAAGTTGTGCTTCTTTTCGGGACAAATGACATTGACCACTTTAGTTAAATACTCTTTCACGAACGGTTCTCCATGTATAATGGTTGGAATCAGGGTTTGAAATGAACTTTTTCACTCGCCAGCCAATTTGGCTACTAAATTTTTAAGTTACCGGCCATTCAGAACTTCTGCTAGCCAAAAAAATGTATCTATGTTGTATCGAGTCTAGCGCGCCGTTATTTGTTGCATAGTGATGGGCGTATTCAAGTAAGCCAGATATGCGCACATTCTGCGCAATAATGCTGTATTTAGTATACCATTATGGCTCACGAGTTGAGTATTTGCGCTAAAACTGCGCAGATTTGGCTTACATGAGCTTTACCAGGAAATTAACGAGTGAACATTATTTATAAAAAGTAACCCGTCAGATAGTGATTTGACAACTTTACCCGCCACAGCTGATTTTTACCCGCATTTGGCGGGTGTTAATTTCACTTATAAACTCTAGTAATGTTATAGGCACCCCGTTTACTCTGATAAAAAAGCCGCTTCGCCAGGATCGCTTCCAGCTGCTTCAGTTTCTTTCTCCTCCGCATAAGCACAAATACAAGTTCCCGACATGAATTATGTAAATCCGATGTTAATAAAGTGTTTTATAGTAAGCAAGCTAACATTACGGTAACCGCTGTATAATATAATTATACTATAGTAAAATTAGCCGTGTTTGATAGTACGCGAGCTAATGTTAAGCTAACCGCTGTGTTACAAATAGTGAAGTGAAGTGAAGCCAAATATGGTGACCCATACTCGGAATTTTTGCTCTGCATTTAACCCATCCAAGTGCGCGCGCGCGCACACACACACACACACACACACACACAGTAGTGAACAGTCTTTTTTTTGCTGCGGGGAGCAGGTGGGGTTCGGTGCCTTGCTCCAGGGTCTCAAGTCGAGGTATTAAGGGTGGAAGAGAGTTCTGGTCATTCACTCCCCCCCACCTACAATCCCTCCCTGCTGGACTTGAACCCACGACCTGTAGGTTCACTTTCGGGTTACAAGTCTGACGCTCTAACCATTAAGCTACGACTGCCCCCGTACACAACTGAGCCGTACATAACAGAGCAGTGATTTAGTACAACATAAGGATTAAAGAAATTATTTAATAAAAGTGGTACTAAACCTCTATGGCTACATGGCGGTTGGTGACAGTTGAGTTTGTGCATTCGAATGCCTGTGCGACTACGGTCCCAAAGAGTGACGTCATCTCAATGAATCAAATCTTTTCTCGAAGAAGATTCATTTACTGGCAATTTCTGTAAATTTAGCACATTAGGCCAGTACCTGCGAAAAGTGAGCGTCTTTTTGTGTGCTGTGAATGACTCACTGAATCATTTACTCAACCAGTTCAGTAGAACAAGTCATTCAAGACATCTTATCCTACATATTAGCCTTAAATTCCACTGTTTTGCAGATGACATCCAACTTTACCTGTCCACTAAATCCATAACCCCAGCCACACATTCCACCCTCACAAACTGCATCTCTGAAATAAAGTCCTGGCTTCAGTCAAACTTCCTCCAACTAAACTGCGACAAAACTGAAATAATCATCATCGGCCCCAAAACACTCACCAAAACCTACAATAACCTCAC